AATTATTTTTCTTCATATTTAATTTCACCCTAGGTTGTCGATTGCTCCCCAAGTGGCACAGCGGCATGTCTGCGGACTTACAACGCTAGAAACAGGGTTTCGATACCCGTGGTTGGCAGAGCACAGATAGCCCATTGTGTAGCTTTGTGCTTAACTTCAAACAAATTGTCCAACAAACCCTAGGTTGTCAGTGATTATATTTGCGATGTTTAATTTCCCCTATAAGTTGTAGGTAATTATTTTTGTTCATGTTTAATTCCTTCGTAGGTTGTCCGTGACTGTTTTGTTCGTGTTTAATTTCCTCGTAGGTTGTTCGTGACTGTTTTTGTTCATGTTTAATTTCCTCGTAGGTTGCCTGTTTTTGCTCATGTTTAATTTCCCCGTAGGTTGTCCGTGACTGTTTTTGTTCGTGTTTAATTTCCTCGTAGGTTGTTCGTGACTGTTTTTGTTCATGTTTAATTTCCTCGTAGGTTGTCTCTTTTTGCTCATGTTTAATTTCCTCGTAGGTTGTCCGTGACTGTTTTTGTTCATGTTTAACTTCCTCGTAGGTTGTCTGTGACTGTTTTTGTTCATGTTTAATTTCCTCGTAGGTTGTCCGTGACTGTTTTTGTTCATGTTTAATTTCCTCGTAGGTTGACCGTGACTGTTTTTGTTCATGTTTAATTTCCTCGTAGGTTGTCCGTGACTGTTTTTGTTCGTGTTTAATTTCCTCGTAGGTTGTCCGTGACTGTTTTTGTTCGTGTTTAATTTCCTCGTAGGTTGTCCGTGACTCTGTTTGTTCATGTACCATAGATTGTTCTTTTTATTTTTCTTTGTGTTTAACTTCTCATAAGCTATCGGTCATTAATTTTTGTTGGCGTCCGGTGGCTCAGCAATAAGTTTATAGGGGTTCGATACCTGCGGTGGGCACAGTACAGATAGTCCATTGTACAGATTTGCGCTTAAACAGAAAAACAAACGAACATTTTTTTTAATGATTAATTCATTCTAGATTGTTGGTTATTATATATATATATTTTTCAATTCTAATCTTTTGCCAAACGATCAATCTCTAAACTCGTCCTTTCAGCCATGGGGGGGGGGGGGGGGTATAATATATTACGATCAATCCTACTATTTGTTGGTAAAGAGTAGCCCAAGACTTGGCGGAGGGTGGGGTTGACTAGCTACCTTCCCTCTAGTCTGTCACTACTAAATTAGGGACGGATAACGCAGATGGCCCTTGTGTCGCTTTGTACCAAGTGCAAAACAAAACCAAAACTCAATTGCTGAATGCCTCCTGGTGGGTCAGCAGTAAGACTGAAGATTTAAAACGCTAAAAAAGGGGGCTTCTACTCCCCTTGGCTAATAGAGTGCAGATAGCCCATTGTGTAGCTATATGTTAAAAACAAACTATTATGAAACATCAGTTACCACTGCTTCTGTAAATGTGTTTTTTTGGGGGGGAGTGGGTGGGTGGGGTTGGGGTAAACATTATTGAGCATGACCCCGTTTTTTATTCTTTTATGTGAACTCACTTTCATATAATTTTCACGCCAGATTTTTTCAAATATTTTAACTTCATAATTTGTAATACACGACGCCTTATTGCACCTCATATATATATTCAGGCCTAGTAACAAATGATCCAAAAAATGAAGAATATTCATTTTTTTTATCAACACTGGAATGGAATTTTATAATCTTAGATATGATTTTTTCTATTTATTCACTTGAACTTACTTAAATAGGTGAATTTTCAACTGCACAAATATTGTTACAGGTGTACAATTTGTCATCAACTGCACACTAGGCCTTTTATAAATATACTAGTGAAGTACCCGGCTTCGCTCGGGTTATTAAGTTGATAGTGTGTGTATATTCTGAACCCATTTTAGCATAAAAGTATAACTTATATACTTTTGTTGCTAAGCAATATGACATAAAAGCCATTGTTGGAACGCGTTGTTACCAAAACCCACTGGCTTTTATATACATTAGAAGTTGTTATATAAGGAATCACTTATTTTCTTTGTGGGTTTGCGCTAGCTTGACTCACTAAAAAGATGTGCGCACACGTGGATAAGATAAGTAATACCCAGGTGCACACCCTCAGGTCCACTTAGTATGGGTGCAGAATTTGATGTTTTTAGGTTCTTTCTTCTTGGAGCTATGGTGGTCACACTTCCTTTCTATGTGGTTTTTTCGTTGACTTGCCTCATAAAAAGATGCGCACACGCACATGGATAAGTAATAATACCCAGTTGCGCGTCCTCAGGGTCTACTTTGTATGGATGATGCAAAATTTCAGGCTTCTAGCTTCTTTGCTCTTGGAGCTATGGCGGTCACATATTCTTTTCTATGTAGTTTTTCGCTTGCTTACCTCACAAAAAGATGCGCACGCACATGGATAAGTAACAATACCCAGGCGCACACCCTCAGGGTCCACTTAGTATGTATGCAAAATTTCAGGTTTCTAGGTTCTTTCCTCTTCGCCCTATTGTTACTATGGATTTGATTTTTAAAAAAAACGTCTCGAAGAATGGAATACTAAATATTTGTTTCTGGAGTATGTTTGACAAAATTTAATATTTTTAGAGAATTTGCCCAGTCTATGAATTCAGTGATTCACGGTTCGTGGCTCAATGCTGCGAGAATGTGCTCCGTACTTTGGGACCGTATGTATATTCTATAACAGTGACGGTAAAATTCCACTATTCCGTCGGACACTGATTAGCCCAAGAGTTGGATGTAGTCGCTACTGGCTAATTGTTTTAACTCTAGTTTCAAAATTAGGGACGTCTATGCACAAATGACCTTGTGTGTAACTTTGCAAGCGAATTCTAAAATTCTTCACAAACAAACGCCGTAAAAACATGGAGATAGCTAAAAAGGGGGTCTAAGAGTATATCTGGTATTCTGGATAATAAACCTAACCCTCGTGATGCAATAAAAGTAGTATATTGCCCACAAAACTATCAGTGAAACCACATTAACTAAATCCTGAGAAGAAGAAAGAAAAAGAAACATTTAACATGTAATACAACGCGAGTTCTACGTGAGTTTATTAATTTAATTGTGACCGGAATTGACTCGATAATGTGAGCGAACCTGGTTTACTCTAATATTGATATTAATGTTAGAAACATGCCTTAATAATAAGTGTTAAATCTGGGAAATTTTTGGCATTGCTCGCGTGTGTTGTGTATTAAATAGATTGATTTGCTTACAGGTATTAACGATACGTTTTTGAGATTTTTTTTTAAATTCACATTTGCTATAAACAGATCGTCTCGCAGCGGTAAACCACGTGTGTGAGTGCGGGAGGTAACACGGAGAGTAGTTGAATTCTGCTGGTGCCAGAAAATCCCGAAAATATCTACTGTGAACCGTTTGTGAACTAGGGCATGTAAATATATTATTTTTCTTACCTTCTGTTTGTTTTAACTGATTAACTCTTAGTATTGTAATGTCGCAAACTGTCAGAAGACAAAATAGAATTTTTGATTACTTGAACCGCCGTTTGTGGGTAGGTGGGGTGGGGGAAAGCTCCACAAAGATCTAACTAGACCGACTGAATAAAATGCTTCAATCCTTAAGTAAGCTCTTTAGGTACCTGCGGTTTAATTATGTTTTGAGGCCACAAGCTAGTCCAAATGTAGACTGTATCCTCACTTTCGATAATAAAAAAAGAAGATTGTGCACATAGTAGGCGTCCTCAGCCTGGTTTCTTAAAGGTCAAAGCTGTAGATCTGAGTTTTAGCTTAAATAAAATGTTTGTAAAAAAAAATCACTTTAAAGGTGAAAGAATAAGCTTTCGTTTATAAAAACGGTTCAGTGTTTTCTTGTAAAGTAAATACTTGCTTTCAAGGTTTAGGTTTTAGTAAAGCATAAAATTTAGCATTCAAGAGGGTCTGGGCGTGGCCAATTGGTTAGAGTATCCTAACTGTGAATCCGACGATGGCCGCTAAAAATGTGCTCTGCACCTTGGTGCCTTGAGTACTCTATAAAAGATTGCAACATACCACAATGCGATCAAACAACCTTAAAGAGTGGGCGGTAGATGATATTTACTGTTGCTTGCCTTCCCTTTATAGTCTGTCAGTTCGAGAAAATGGACTGATATGTATAGAGAACCCTTACGTAGCTTTGCGTGAATTTCTGAGAGACTTCATGTCCTTTAACACGCTGAAGAGACTCACCAAAAGGATATCTTGATGTATTATTGTAAGGTCCTTTTACACGCTGAAGAGACTCGCCAAAAGGATATCTTATTGTATTATTGTAAGGTCCTATTATACGCTGAAGAGACTCGCCAAAAGCATATCTTGATGTATTATCACAAGGTCCTTTTACATGCTGAAGAGACTCACCAAAAGGACATCTTGATGTATTATTGTCAGGTCTGAGCTCTGGCCATCGGTGACAGATTAGATCTCGAGTTTTTTACATACAGAAATATGTTAACAAGTTGGCGTTACTGAATATTCCATCTAATCCAACGCACACTTGTTTATATAGTGAATTCTCCATTAAATTCGTAAAGTAGGCCTACATGCTTGAATCACAGCTTTACTTGCGAAGGTATAGATGTGGAAGTTGTTTATTTATTTTTTTTGCTAGAGAAACGGCCAGTTTGTTTATTAGTTCTTAGTGTCATCAGTGTTGCTCCCCCTCGTCGATACTGAAATGAATGCGGTCACAAAATATAAAGAGTTTAAGTAGTAAACTATAAAATGATAAAAAAAAAAACCGATAACCCGAGCACTTTCGAAAGGTGGACTTTTTTCTTCAGGGTGAAACTGGGAATGGTGGTGAAATCGAATGAGGGATATATATATATATAAAGGGAGTTAAGTGACGTCATGAAGGTCATCTGGTCTTACAGAAAATGTTTAGTATATTTTTTCCGTGTACTGTTGTAAGTGTGTTTCATTTCCAGTACAATGTGACCGGCGACGAGAGTGTTATGGATATTTTTCCATGTACTGTTGTAAGTGTGTTTCATTTCCAGTACAATGTGGCCGGCGACGAGAGTGTTAGGGATATTTTTCCATGTACTGTTGTAAGTATGTTTCATTTCCAGTACAATGTGGCCGGCGACGAGAGTGTTAGGGATATTTTTCCGTGTACTGTTGTAAGTATGTCTCATTTCCGGTACAATGTGGCCGGCGACGAGAGTGTTAGGGATATTTTTCCATGTACTGTTGTAAGTGTGTTTCATTAGACTTGTATTATCTAAATGGTTTGGTTTGTTTTGATTTTCGCGCAAAACTACACGAGGGCTATCTGCACTATCCATCCCTAATTTAGAAGTGTAAGACAAGAGGGAAGACAGCTAGTCATCACCACCCTCCGCCAACTCTTGGGGTACTCTTTTACCAACGAATAGTGGGATTAACCGTTACATTATAACGCCACCACGGCTAAAAGGGCGAACATGTTTGATGGGACGGGGATTCGAACCCGCGACCCTCACATTGTCGTCAAGTGCCCTAACCACCTGGCCACTCCAGCCCTTATCTAAATCATTACTGTTCTTAACCACGTGCTTAAAATAAATGTCTTCCCTGTTTTATGCGAATCGTTCTTTTCTTTTTGTACGTGATTCGATAAAAACAGTTGTGAGTACGGTACGCGAATTGTGATTGGCTAAAACCGTTGTTATTTTTCGCCTGATTCGTTCCTTATTCGAAAGCTTTTGCAATTGGGAATTTCAGAAGTTTTTTCGTAATAACAAGAAGGTAGTTTGTTGTTCAATCAGAATGGAATGTTTTCAGAAACATTCGGGTCCTACTCACGTGAACAGCA